GTCTCTCTTAACTACTCAGCTCTGCTATTGAAGCATGACACCAGTTAGTGTACAATACAAAAGCGAATGAATGTGAATGTGTGTTTCAATTAAACTTTATTTACAAAAGCAGGCAGCAGGCCAGATTTGACTCATGAGTTGTAGTTTGCAACCTCTGCTCTAGAATTTATAGTGATTAAAGAGAGTCTGAAACCAAAATTTAAACTTTAATAATACACAATATGTCTTCCAATGCAAATCACTGTACTTGCAGGTACCTCACTGATTCACAGAAAGATTAAATGTATTTTTAAATCTTTTTAGGTTTTCCTGTTTGCCTTTTCTTCTCTATTATATAAGTTATATTGGAAATGTCTAAATCCATTAAAAATTAGATAATTTGTGCTACATTTAATGAAAAATTTAGGAGTGCTGAGGCTGCAAATTACCTTTTTGATTCCACAGTCAAGTTGTGAATTCAATGTAATCTTCTTTTTTGTCAGGATTAGCATGAGAGATTTTACAGAAAAATTTCCCAAAAGAGCGATCAGGTCGAATTCATATAAGAAAGGCATTTTTATCACTAAAACTAATTAATCGATTTATATTATCTTTCTGATTGATCATTTTACAAGCTCTCCTTATTTGGATATTTTCATTGCACACTAATTTTTGATTATGATTATAACTCGGACTAATACTACAAGTACTATATATCTGATGTAGTAAATAATTTAGGATGTAATTAGTGTAAATTACAGTTTACTTAATTAGTACATGTAGAGGTAGCCCCTTTGTCCTAAAATGTTTAGAACAGATGAATACTAGGTATTTATAAAGTTTACTGACATCTCTATTGATTTGACACATAAAAATTGGTAAAAAGCATTTAAAATTAAAATATTCTCTGTGGAATTCTAACTTTAATTTTAGTATAATTCTGAGTATAATGTTACTACTCAACAAGAATGGATAACCGATTAAAAACTTATTAATTTCAGATATACAGAAAAAGCTATGTAACCCTATATAGCGATTTATCTATTGTGTTTTATATTGTTAGATAATCCATAATTTATTTGAAAATTAAGCATTTGGAATTTTTTATTCTGTGTTTTTCTGTGTTTTAAAAGACTAAAAAAAAGATGTAGAAAAAAAAAAACTTCATTTCAAACTTTTAATGAATTTGTGAATTTGTTAAGAGTATGGTGATGTCTAATGAAAGACTTTCAGACAAAAGACATAAAAGGTAGGACCTAATACAACAGTAGACTTCTTCCTTCAAAGATTTTCAAAACTTCAAGAACAGAAGATTACTTCCCAGGCTGAAATTCAAGCTCAGTTGGAAACAAGGTCTATTGGGCTTTTGAGTTGTCTAATGTTGAAAATCTCAAGTTGACTCGCTAGTTTAAAAAAAAAAAAAACCTGGAGAGGGGAAAGGAAAATTTTTATTCTGGAAATGGGTTCTTCTCTGATGCAAATAGAAATCCATCTCCAAAGAAGAAGCAGATGTGAGTTACCCTAATTTAGTCTTTTGGAAACAGAGAAGATTTTGAATTTGCTAAAAAACTTTTGTTTTTCCTAAGTATTAGTTTATAAGCTCTGAGATACCTTTCTTGTGTTTGAAAATTTTCCGAACCCCAAGATATTCATAAAAATTTACTCAAAACACTGAAATGCATTTTCAGAAGAGTATAGGGAATCTCAATTTTTTTAAAATTTACATAATAAAGAGGTTAGGAATTAGTTGGTGCTTTCATTTCTGATCATTTATTCACTTTCTTTTTTATAGCTTTTCTATTTGGAGAGATACATTCAAATATTAAAAATATTCCACAGTAAGTGTTATTAATAAAACTTTAAAATCCCAAAGTGGAAGTAATAAATTTCCTACAAATGTACTGATTGAATCAGTTTTAATCCTCTGTGAATTAATAACAGAAGTGAAATAAAATTTTTGAATTCACATTGTCAACTTCAGAGGAAAAGAACACCAAACACTATTCTAAAGAGCGTATTTTAAAATTGGCAGCAATAATGCTGTTGTTTCCCTTTTCTATAAATAATGTGGTAAAAATGATAATAAGCATAACACATTGAGTTCTTACTATAACTGCTATTTTATTACATGTATTAGCTCATAACAATTCTGTAATGTAGGTATTAGTATTATTCTCCTTAATATATAAGGAAATAAGCAAAGAGAAGTAGAATTTCAGTGCAAATGGAACCTAATGTGATAGTTTGTTATTTTAATAATGCCTCCACATATGGTAACTGGTTAATTGACTAATACAAATGAATATTAGGCTTTTACCATGATTTGCAAGAACATACAGACTAAATGTCAGAGTACACTGATAGTTCTTTTCAAAGTCAATTTGCTTCATGCGGGGACCAGGTATCTCTTAAAAAATCATTTCTTATTCTCCTTATAGGCACTTCTTATGGTAGCCACATAACTCAGTTTGACAGGAAAGTACTTTTATCTTCAAAATTATTTTCCTTTAAGAAAATCTTCCATGTCAATCAAAGAAATGTTAGTCTAAAATAATCCTATGAATGAGTTTGCTTTGTTACATAATTTCTCATTCAGATTTAGAGCTCAAATAAGGATTGGTCATATACTATTAAGATACTAAAAATGGGAAAACAAACAAAATATCCATTGACAGATGAATGGATAAAGAAAATATGTATAACCAAATACCATTCAGCTTTAAAAATGAAGAAAATTCTGCAATTCAGAACAGCATGGATGATCCTTGAGGGCATTATACTAAGTGAAATAAGCCAGTCACAGAAAGATACATACTGCTGGTTCTACTTCATAGAATCAAAGTGGACCGGTGGATACCAGAAGATGTGGAGAGAGGGAAACAGAAAGTACCCAAACAACGGCATAAAGTTTTGGTCAAGCAAGATGAATAAGCTCTAAAGATTTGCTGTATAACACTGTACATCTATAGTCAATGATAAAGTATTATAGACTTAAAATTTTAAAAGTAGATTTTATGTTGTGTTATTACTAAGATAAAATAGTTTAAAAAAGAGAAGATGATAAAAAAGGATATATCCACAAGAAGTCTTCAATTTATTTCAAACTTATGTTCTTTCACAATTGCAATTACTGTATGCATATAAATTGTACCTATAATTCCTTTGCTGCATGATTACTTTTGAACAAGATTATTTAAAATAAACTCTTTGTGGGTACATATAGAAAGAGGAGTTTTCTGAGAATATAATACTCCTTGAAAAGCCAATTGACTCCTTTGGCTCAGAATTTTCTCTTTGGGAGATTACGCACCTCTCAGGAATTTGAGTAAAAATGCTTTTAAAAACACCCTAAGGTAAACTGTACAAAGATTTAATCCCACACAAAATATTTCTGTGAATGGTTAATTTATCTGGAAAGACTACTTAGTAATTTTTCACTCTAGTGAGAAACTCTCCTTTGTTGAAACCTACTTGTAGCCATCAAGAGATGGGAATTTTCTTTTTTCTTTTTCTTGAGGTGGAGTTGGCTCACTGCAACCTCCGCCTCCTGGGTTCAAGCGATTTTCCTGCCTCAGCCTCCTGCGTAGCTGGGATTACAGGCATCCACCACCATACCCAGCTAATTTTTGTATTTTTAGTGAAGAGGGGGTTTCATCATGTTGGCCATGTTGGCCAGCTGCTCTTGAACTCCTGACGGTGATGTGCCTGCCTTGGCCTCCCAAAGTGCTGGGACTACAGGCGTAAGCCACTGTGCCTGGCCTGATTTTCTTTGTATCATACCAAATTTGACTTCAAATTAAGAGTATTAGACAGCTGGGAGTGGTGGCTCACGTCTATATTCCCTGCACTTTGGGAGGCCGAGGTTGCCGAATCACTTGAAGTCAGGAGTTCAAGACCAGCCTGGCCAACATGGTGAACTTCCATCTCTATTAAAAACAAAAAATAAAATTAGCTGGGTATGGTGGCAGGCGCCTATAATCCAAGCTACTCAGGAGGCTGGGGCAGAAGAATTGCTTGTATCTGGGAAGCGGAGGTTGCAGTGTGCCAGGCTGGGCAACAGAGTGAGATGCTAAAGTACTGTCATAAGCTTTTAGTATACTTCTTGAACTACCAACTGCAGGATAATATCTTACATTGTCTATTTATTTGGTCATTTTGACCAATTAAGTTTAGCTATGTGTCAAATTTTCTCAGACACAGTTTATGTTTGTTTTGTTACGTTATGCAATGCAATATATATTTGCAACATATTTACACACAAATAATGCTTAAATATAATATTTATATGATATATAACATACATTAAACATATAAAGAAAACATCCTAAAACACTGCAGGTAACAATTTTTATTTTATTATATATATTAATTACAGAGAAGATTACAGTAAACATCTAATGTTAAAGAATTTCTTATTCTCTGTATTGCTTAGAGGACTGAAGACTTGTTGAAAAGACAACAAATCAAGTTAGATCCATTATTTTCAGCCTCTGTTCAGACTAACATTAATAAAAGCAAATTGTATGGCAAGGCTATATTTTCAAAGCTTTAATATGCATTCTAAATTCTTATAAGTGTATTCTGAGTTATGGTTTTGAAAGGACACTATGGCAGAAGAGCCTGAATTTGCTAACTGTAATTAAGTCCATTAGAACTACAGTGGTGTTAATACACTCAGAAAGCTTAAAGGATAAATAGAAATTAAAAATGTATAGCAAATGACCCTAAAAATGTAGAACTGTCTTCTATCTTTATGAGTAAAGTTAAATTGGAAATGATACAGGTCATTTCTAGGAGTCTACCAAGAAATTATTCACTGTTGCTTTCTGCTGACAGATAAGATTTATGTTTGTAGACACAACTATCAGAATATATAATTATATCAGAAAACATCCTTAGATGAAGATTCATAGGTTAGATGACACAGGACATTTTAAATATCTTATAACTTCATGTATTGTATGGAAGTCACTGACTGAGTTTATTGAAGCACAAATTAAAACTCTTCAGGAGATACTTACCCTTTTCTGTTCTTTTATATACTCTATCAATTCATCTCTTGTTGTTTTCACTGCCTCTTCCACAGCCTTTTCACTTCGCTTCTGCTCTTCTATTATTGCTGCCTTTACAGTTTCCTGTTTGCAGGAGAAGGTAAAACAGTCAGGAAGGTAGGCACTATGACATACTTCTGGCCATTTCATATAAACTAAAAATCCACTTCAGTGGGTTTTAGCTCATTCTATTCAAAGTGTACCTTTACACAGGGATAAGAACTTACAAACTCTTTTGGGATCTATTAGAGATTTCACAGAACTCCATTTCCTAAATTGAGTGAAGGGAAAGGAATGGAATATGCCATTTATTGCAGGGAGTGCCTGACAGGCTCCAATGGCTTCTTTACCAACCTTTCATTTGATGTTTACATGATTCACTGCCTTCCTGTATTTTGCACTATCCACATAAGACTTCCAACTTGTGTTTATTCTTCCAAGAACACTCTAATACTCTAGCTATTTTATTCACGTTTAATTTTGGCATCATACAATAATCAAGTGTGGTCTGAGTGGTAAGATTTACAGCTAGTTTGGTCCTCTTGCCAGGCTAAGATGCTGTGAACTGGACACCATAAGTAAGAGGTAAAAATTCCACCCAGTGTGCTAATATTTGAATGAGAGATTTAGGGAGGGAAATGGTACTCCCCATTTATTGAAATAGTAATCAGGAACCTAAGAGATTTCAGCATTGCAAATACAGCAAGAAAGCTAAAATTCTGAAAAACTACAACACCTCTGAGGAAGTCATAATATTTTCTGCTAAAATAGTATATCATGAATTGGAATGAATGCCATGATGTAAAATCTTTTCATTTCCATCTATTGGTACCACCTTTTTTATTGGACATCAAGGCAATCAATTGGAAACTGCCTTGAGTTTCTCAGTCCTTCAGTTTTGATTCTTGAAGGTCCTTCATTTTGTGGAATGCATGTATGACTTTGCTTAGTTGTCCCCAATTAATTTTAGATATTTATATGTAGCTTAGAAAATATAAAATAACATCAAGGATTCTCTATTTCAAATATATTTAATGTAAAAAATTTAAATGTGTGGAAAAATATAAACAAAAAGCAACACACACAGAGATATTTACTTTGGACCAATTCAAAAAGTGGAATCATTTTTGGCCAAAGGATATAAACTCAATATATCTTTTGATATTTTGTACAAATTTACTCATAAGCAGCACATAAGAATGGCTATTTTCTTGCAACCTTGATAACATTTATTTTTATCAGTTTTTAGAATCCTTGCTTACTTGGGAAAAATGACATCTAATTTTATCCTGTATTTTTAAAAGATTGCTATGTGATGTTGAGCATTTAGTTTATAGAAATATTGGCAATACACATGTTTTCTCTTGTCATTTGCTTGATCATATTGTTTACTGCTTTAATATTGGTATACTTAGTTTTTTATTCCCTTCCTTATAAAATTAACTGAAAATTCTGAAAGTCTTTGAAAAATTTTACTATTTTATTTTCAGTCATTGAGTATATTAGGTATTGGCTCCATTAGAGTACAAAGCTGCTTCCATAATTATCTCAAAAGATTAAAGTTGGAAAACTATAGCAATTTATAAAAAAAACCATGAGAATAAAACTTCAAAATGCAAGCATCTGCTATTATAATTCTTATTTATTTCACACTTGCAAATTTAGAATTTGAAGTTATTCAAATTTAGAAAGGCAAATATATTACACACTTACTAAGCTCTCTGAAATAAAACACATTAATAATTCTGTTGTAAAGAATATGAATATTTACACTATACGAGTAAATTAAAAGCATAAATAGCTTCACATTCATTCAAGTCAGGTTTTGCTAACAGGTGGGTTACAAATATCCTTAGTTTTCAGGGCTTTTTACAAGTGCAAATAACAAACTGTCATAAGAAGCATATTAATAAATCTAACGAGGCCTGTTTGATTAAAAGCAAGAATCAATTTAAATAAATGAGCTTCAACCAAAAAAATATGAAGAGTTAGTAAAAGTTATTCAGTTAACACATTTCAGGGAGCTGAGTGTTTATATTATTACTACCTTCTCAGTTGAAATTTTTGAGAATATACCATTCCTTGTTTTTGAGTTGGCAAAGTACCATTTACAGTACAAAATTCTCTTGATTCTATCCTTCCCAGCTGGGAGTTAAGTGACAGTCAAAGTTGTGAAGCTCATCCTGAAAAACTGTTCATCTATAAATAATTCCTTTGAATGTGACACAAAAGTAAAGTTTAACCCTCTACTTTCTAATCACTAAATTCTGAATTAGTTAGAATTAATAAACTTTGTTTGCATGTATGCAAGTGGTATGTGAATGACTGCATGATTTGTTGATTCCATAAATGAAATATATCATCCCTAGGAGTCATGACAATCTAAAATAAAACATAGCTTGCAAGGAATGAAGACTTTCCAACAATAAGTACATTCAAATAGGCAATTCTGGAAAGTGTTTTTCAAAATATTTTGGTGATAACTCCACCACTGAACATAGTGCATTTTTTTTCCTGTCTATGAGTATTAACCACATACTTGCACCTAGAAAATGAGTCAAGACCATTGCATTTCCCTCCAAACATGAAACACATTTGCAGTCATCAAATACAATCATTAAAACCTTGTTTGGAAAACTGATCAAACAGGCGATTCTGGAAAGTGTTTTCCAAAATATTTTGGTGATAACTCCACCACTGAACATGGTGCATTCTTTAAGGCAGGCTTTCTCAACCTTGGAACTACTGACAATCCTTTGCTGTGAGAAAGCATTCTGTGTGTGAGCAGCATACCTAGTATCTACGCACTAGATGGTTTCCATTTGAGAAACACTATCCTAAGATGAATAGTTTGGAATGAAAAGTACTCAATTACATATATGTTATTCTGTATTTGTTAAAATACATCAGTCATATTTCTGGTCATACTGGAACGCTTTTATCTAAAAATATATGCAGAAACATCCTACCCAAATGATTATCTAACTAGTGCTTAAATGTGGAGAAAGTTCTATATACTGCTGGGTGCAGTGGCTCATGCCTGTAATCCCAGCACTTTGGGAGGCGGACCACCTGAGGTCAGGTGTTCAAGACCAACCTGACCAACAAGGTGAAACCCCATCTCTACTAAAAATACAAAAAATTAGCTGGGCGTGGTGGCAGGTGCCTGTAATCCCAGCTACTCGGGAGGCTGAGACAGGAGAATTGCTTAAACCTGGGAAGCAGAAGTTGCAGTGAGCTGAAATCATGCCACCGCACTCCAACCTAAGGGATGGAATAAGTCTCTGTCTCAAAAAAAAAAAAAACCAAAAACCAAAAAACAAAACAAAACAAAACAAAAAACCAAGAAGTTCCATCTACTGCTTTTTAAAAATAAATGACTGGAATAGTGGAATAGTTTTTATACTGTTATGATTAAATAGGTCATGCTGAATGTCATTTAGAGCTAAAAGCTTATATGACATTTTGCACAAGATGTTATAATTTCCCTTTATTGCTTAAAAGTATATTTATGCTTTAGTATCCATGAAATCTACCATTCATTTCAGTAATCACAGGGTCATTATCCAGTAAAATGCCTGCGTTTTTGTGCCCTTTATTAGGGCAATTTTCTTAAAGATTGTAAACACAGCACAATTATTTACAGAAAACAAGTATCACCAATGAACTCAGTTCTGGTCTGTGGGTTGCAAACCATAGTACCATGAGGTTAATTTTCTGGGGAAATTGTGCATTTTACTCACTTTTTGTTTCTATAGAAATGCATATTATCTAATTATGTATTATCTTAAAAGTAACATGTGCTAGTAGAAATGCACCTTAGAAAACGAGTGATAAACTAGAGATGCAAAGATCAGATAACATTTGTTATATTCAGTTCTAGTTTATGGTTGGTAGCAAACTCTGTTCATACATTCATTTGTCAAATATATCCTAAATACCTATTTTGTATAAAAAATAGTCCCAAAAACTGAAAGCCATATTTGTCTATCTCTTGATGAGTTTCTAATTTTCTTGTGAAAATAAAATATAAATGCACAGAAACTGTATATTAAATATAACTTTTAGTATACTAAATAACCATATACTAAAAGAGAACTTACAGGATATAGTGGCTAATGAGTCGTGGTAATACTATTTTGAGTTATAAGGAAGGAGATATCACAATGTCTACAACGGTCAGAGAAAGCCTTAAAAAAAAAAGGTCGGCTCTGATCTGAGGTTTCATAGGTGTTTCATGTGTGGAAAGATGATTAAGACTGAGAGATCCGTATAAGTAGTTCATGTTGAATGTTATCTAGGAATAAAAACTTATATGACATTTGGTACAACAGTGCAAAAATAAAACTGAATATATGTTTGAGGCTTCTGGCTACAGATGAATGTTCTTTTGGGAAAAATGAAAAGGAAGCAAGGCTGGGACCAGGTAGTGGGGAGCCTGAAGGCTTAAGGCTGATGTCAACAACATAAGATGTAAAGAGCTACCAATAATAGCATGTGTATTGATTGCTCTTCTTGCCACTTGTATAGTCTTTACATGAGTCAGCAAACATAGTCTTTACTAATCTCATACATAGTCATCCTTGCCTTACCCCAAATGATATATCAAAAGTAAATAGTCTAGCTCATTAGCACAACATCTTCAAAAGTTGCTAACTCTTAAAAAATGGTCTAAACAAGGAAAATAACAGACACATTTTCATTCCCTTCCTGTTTGGGCAAAGTATTACGTAGATAGTACCATCCTATGTCCACAGCCAACAACTCTGATCTAGGGTATATGTGCCAGAAGCTTGTATCTGTACTTGTAATCCCAACATACAAACAGAACAGTTTCACTTAAAGTTAGGAGAAAGTCTTCTAGATTGTCCAAATTTTCATTCTTTTCTAGATTTTAATTACTTAGAAAAAGTAATATTCAGTAGTATCAGTAGAGTGATTTGGGGATCATGAACTATAATCCTTGTATTGGATGCAGTTTTTTTTTCCTGCCTCCCTCTCCCTGGATGCAGTTTTTTAACCCGAATACTAGGAAAATGAGTAACATTTTAGTGTCTTTAACAAGCAATCCCAAAATGAAGCAA